GGGGTAGGAGGGGAAATGCGGCGTGCCCGGGGGAGGAGGCGGGGCTGAGGATTTGGGGAAGGGGTTGGAATGGGGCGGGGAAAGGGTGGAGTTGGGGCGGGGCTGGGGGGCGTGGGAAAATTTTTTTGCTTGGGGCGGCAAAAAACTTGGAGCCGGCCCTGATGGTCTGTAATACCTTCCTCCTCCAGCCCTACCAAAATAACTTCTCTGAAATTAACTAATAACCTGCGCTTTTTAGTTCCAAAATGCTGTTAAATCTCCCAACACACACACACACACACACACACACACACACACACACACACACACACACACACACCCTCATCTAGGATAGTGACACAAACATTCTGGCCTCTTTGGCTCCACTTTCCCGCACCTTTATTATTTAAAAAAAAAATTGATCATTGGCCGGGAGTGGAAAAACACCAGTGCGTCTTTTAACCTAATATTTGCAAGATGCTCTGACATTATCTAGCATTTTATTTATTTAGATTTAGATGATATAAAGATGACTCTTCGAGGCGATAGGCACCCTAACACATCATTATTAATAAGATTGCAACCAGCATTAAAGTAATCACCAGGAACTCGGCTAGCCACCTACCTACCTACCTACCAAACTCCTTTCAATTCCTTCACTGTGTGGTAAGTATTAGAAACCTAGAGAGGGGAGGGGGACACTTCTTCCCTTAAGGATCATGTTGCTGTTAGTCAGAAGTGTTTCTACTGCTGTGACAGGTCTGAGCGTGGAGAGGAAATTCCATTACTACACAGCCACCAGGACAGGTGATAGGAGGAGGGGAACCAGGCTGTTCAGCAGGGCTTTGTTACATCCATGTTGCACAGAAGATAAAATGAATAAGAAACAAATACAGACAATTTTTAAACATCTACTTGTATACTCCTAGCGTCTGTAGGACACCCAACCATGAGCCTCAAGAAACCTGTGTCTTCTCACAATTTGGAAGGCGACTCGTTAACTACCCCAGAAGACTGTGTTACCCAAGCTAATCTCCAAATCAAATCCCTAGCCAATGCTGTACCCAAAAGCAATACTCCTCAACCAAAGTCCTTTCACAGAAATGAACATGTTCATTTATAATCAAGGGAAATGCCTTTCTGTCCTCTAACAATTTTCCAGTCCTTTTTATCATTGTGCTAGACTGCAGGCATGTTGCAGCAAACATTTATTTTATGACCAAACAGATATATCAGCAGGTGAGTAGACCTAATACCCCCAAAGTAATTTTTCTAATGGTATATCCCAAGGTGCATATGCACACTGGTTGTACACATTAGGGACAGAACTGCCATCAGTCATATCGCTAACAATAGATTATCAGCTCAGCAAAGTGCATGAAGCTTAGAGTAGGGGAGAGGTGTTAATGCCACAGTTCAAACCTCCTGACCTTTCAGCAGCAGGCACGCATGGAAATATTCGAAGATCATTGGCAGGCAAGTATTAACATTCTATGGTACCTGAATGATCTAAGTGGTTTGGAAACACTTTCAAAAATGCTACCCTATCTACAGCAGATCAAAG